TATCGGTGTTGAACCTTGACTTTGCAACAAACAAATCTTACCACTGAAAAGAGCAATCTCGAAAACCCCTAAGATTTGAAATTCGGACTTGATTGGCGCAATGCTACTGAACTTCGATTTTGAATCTTTTTTGAATTCGGTTTCATCATCCGCATGTGCCTGGCAAGCACATCACTTAGGTGGAGAATCTGGCTCGGGCGAGAAACTTCCACCCCCTACAGCGCACTGTTTAGTTGCTAGTAGCAAATATCGCCAGTTAGCTGTGATAGTTACTGAATAGTAGGCCTGTACATAAATATTATTACACCAGGGATAAGTTTCATTCCTGACTATAAAAACCAGTGCTGAAGAAAGAATAAGTTATTTTTCGAACAAGCGGTCATCTTGGAAGGTTATGGGCGCAGATGTTGGTCTCTCCGTGTGCTCAGTCAAAAATTTTATTACTTGCCAAACCTTTTACAGAAGAAGAAGAGAAAGAGACCTCTCATTCCAAATGGTGAAAACATTTGCTCTTCGACGCACAAGTAAAGTCTTCATATTTTCCTTCATGGAGTTCCTTACAAGCCTTATACAGATACAAGATTGTGGGCGTTCTTGGGTCAGGAGGATTCGGTGACGTCTACAAGGTTTGCCAATCACAAACCGGGAACTTTTACGCCTTGAAGACGGAAGATGTCGACATCGACTCGAGATTGAATCGGCTGAAGGTTCGTCGAGGCTCTATTACAGTAATGGGGAAGAAGTTACCTACTAAGACAATTCACCGGAACCTCCGCAGAACGTTTACAAATTTCCGCCGGGTCACCTGCGGAAGTTCCGTAAACGTGCTGCGGAAGGGTCACCTGCGGAAGTTCCGTAAACGTGCTGCGGAAGTCCGAAAAAAATTTCCGAAATGAGGTGCTGCGGAGGTTCCGAAATTTGCATCCGAAATGAGGTACTGCGGAAGTTCCGAAAAATGCCAACTGACAAAAAGAGAACACTTGAGCAAGATTGAACCTTACTATATTGATTGCGAACCTCACTCACTATCCGCTTCACTATAAATGACATATTCGATGAAGCAGTCGAATCGTTAGCGAGACAACGTCGTCATAAACAACGCAGTCGAATCGTTAGCGAGACAACGTCGTAAGAGATAACACGGAAGTTGCTCGTTAAAGACAACACCGTAAGAGACAACACACTAAAGTCCTGCGGAAGTACCGGTAGGCCAAAGTGCTGCGGAGCTTCTGGCATTTTTCGGAAGTTTCGCAGGATTTTGTAGCAAGTCCTGCGGAATTTCCCATTTTCAACCAGTTTGGCGT